GAGGAAGTTCTTATGTAAGTGATGTTCCACAAGATGCGAGAAGTAAAACTAGAATAAATAGAGGAAGTTCTTATGTAAGTGATGTTCCACAAGATGCGAGAAGTAAAACTAGAATAAATAGAGGAAGTTCTTATGTAAGTGATGTTCCACAAGATGCAAGAAGTAAAACTAGAATAAATTATAATAAAAAATAAGTTTGCACGTCTAAATGTAAACCGTTTCTAGTTATTTTGTGTGACGTTTTGAGCAGCCACCCTTCGTAGGGCAGTAAAGACCGTGTTATAATTGAATTAGGTCTGCTGTTTGACCAAGGTAGTCTGCTTCAAATGTTGCACAAAATAAACTAGAACAAAAAATTTCTTTTAGACTTGTCAAATTATACTTTATTGCAATTTATGGAGGAGGAAGGATGACAGAAATTATAATGAATGAGTTTGTCACTTGTGTAATGAAAGTTTTGAACAAAATCATATTTTCATCTTCCTAAATAATGAAATCTGCCATTACTGCGATCAGAACAGCACATTTGTAAAACGTAAAGTATTATAATTTAATTTCTTTTTATTATTAATGTGGTGAACTATGATGTACAAAACAAACTGCAGGTTGAACTAAAGAGTTACAGAGGTAAATACTAGCTCTTCCTACTTAATTACTTTGAATTTGCTTCGCTATTGTCAGTTCATAAAAAAATATAGTTGTGCCATTGAAAATAAAAATTTCTTATTCGTATAACTCGCGTTGTTAAGTGATGATTAAACACTTTGCTAGAAGGTTCTAGATGTTCAGCAACTTGTTGGGCAAGATTATCGTTCATTGTCTTATTTGTCAGATCTTTGTCGAATATTGCATTATTTGAGACTTGAATCATTAACTTGTATCAACTTTCTGGGTAGGTTGAATCTGTTTTTGTTTTTTTTCACAGCTTGTGACTTGATTATTTTCTTCATTACTTGTCCACAATGTGGTACATTTGTTACGAAAATTACATTATAAAATTGTACTGTCAGAATAACTTAAATACTCATATACTGTCAAAATTTTAAAAAGATTCTTAATGCATACCTAAGTCTTTTTGGAATATTAAACAATTACTTAAAAATAGCAAACAGGTAGTGCTTTTATCACAGGTTAAGTCACCACAAAATGTGGCTTTGGAAAAGTTAATATAAGTTATAGAAATATGCGTGAACGTATTTTGAATTTTTTTTTTCACCAACAAATAAGTGTTCCTAGATGATGAAGGTGATTGGATTACATTTTAGTTACTTGAAATAAATACGAGGAAAAAACTTATTTCTGAGTTGTGTATTTTTGTATTTTCCTTCAATGTTACAAAGTAACTATCTCTGAAAAACAAATGCTAAGCTTACATGAAACTAACATTTACTATGGAAATATTTTACAGTACACAGTTGGTAACCCCCTCACTATGGAAATATTTTACAGTACACAGTTGGTAACCCCTCCCCAGAAAATGCCCCAGTTTATTCACTTGGTTCCTGAACATTAAGTCAAACAGCTCATGTAAGGAAGGGAAAGAATGTCATTAAAGACTTGAGAAGAAATTAAGAAGTACGAACAAACTACCAAATTAAAGTCTTTCATTATAAATGTTAATGACCATCAAGAAAACATGAACAAACAAATTAGTAATAGCAAAGGACCTGGTTTCACAGTAACAACTAAGCTTTACAAAGAAGTGTTGTCTTATCTTGAACAACATTTTTATTCTATTCGATGGAACTAAATCTTTCCTTATTATGAACAAAAACTATTATTACAGCACAATATCATCAACTCAGCCTCTACTCTAACCAACACTGAAACTGGTAATAAAGATTTAAACATTAATTTAGTTTCTGAAAATTGTACAAATACAGATGCAACAAGAATGAAACTTCCAAATGACTCACTAAACACCATTTTGATACCAATAAGCGACAACCTCTCCCACGCTAATAAAGATATTAAAGTTGTAAAATTCTCTGCGTTAACTTGGTTTAACCAGCATTTTGTTTATTTTACACTTTCTATACTAACAATAAGAAAATGATGATGTATTTCTAATGGTGTCCAGTAAATTCAAATTTATGAACTTAATTTATGGATATTTTTATATTGCTAACCTTCCTTCAAGAAACAAACTGTAAACTATGCTAATTTTAGTTACTTAATGTTTTCAGCTTATAAACTTTGTTCTTAAAATAAAGACTGTATTTGTGAATGTAAATCTTAGTTGTAAGTGAAAACGTTTCTTAAGCAAATATTCATAATAAAGGGTAGACCATTACAAAAGATATGAATATTTTGACTTTTGCTGGTACAAATAACATAAACCAGTACGGGGATCTCAAAATGAAGGATCCTGGACTCTCAACTTTTATTTTTCAAGATTCTCAATGAGATTTTCAAGGGTCCTAAATTTGATAAACTCATAAAAAAGGAAAAAGCACTTTAACGTCAATGAAAGACTTTATTTACAATGTACAATACATGTTTACCTTCTGCAAGTGGAAAGAACATGTTAATATTAAATGAAAAACTTTATTTACAATTTACACTGCATGTTGTTTCCTTTTATGAGTGCAAAGTAATTTTCATGATATGATTAAAATACTTTTCTTCATCAGAAAATCTTTAAATATAATTTACGTAACCCCTAAAA